TGGGCATATTAGGCAAGGATTCTATCACTGAGCTGGATTCTCCAGCCATGATGATGTCAAACATGATGGCTTTTTCTGTTCTACTTGGTCTCTTATCCTCTGGAAGACTAGCCCCAGGCTTGTTCACATGGCAGCTAAGCAGGGTTGCAAGGGGGTAGGTATAAGTGCACCAATTCTCTTAAGGCTTCTACCCAGAACTGGCACAACCTTATTCTTTTACTAACACAGGTTGTGACCCAGCTCTGACTCTGGTTAGGGAGTTAAGGGAGTAATTTTGCAGTCACCTTGCAAAAACCATGGCTATAGAGAGGCAAATAATTGTGCCCAGTTTCATAAAGCAGCTTATATATTGTAGACTAGAAGATGCTTAAACACAGGAGAGGAAATAATGGGGCTCCAATTTCAAAGGATGTTTCTCATTTTTCAGCTTGGGTAGCTAGTTAGTGCTGCCAACCCAAGAAAGGAAACAAAGAGGAAGGATACAGATTGGGAGGAGGAGAAGGTTGCTGCTGATGCTGCTGAGATAGTGAGTTCAAGATGTGGAAGAAGCTGCGATCATCTTTCCTTCTGCCACAATGATGTGCCCATTCACTTTCTGCAGTCTCTGAGCCCAGATCAAGATTGTTAACACAGTGGGTCTATTCCCCCTAACAATGTATCACACAAGTGGGCTGCATTCCACTGAAAACATTTATTTTCTTTTTCTTTACAAGATTCTCTGTCAGTTTACCATGGATCCATTTAAGAAAGCATTACTGTGGCCGGGATGATAGATAGCTCAGTAGGTAATGGCATGTGCTTATAATCCCAACACTGGGGAGGCAGAGACAGGAGGGTCCCTGGAATGTACTGACCAGCCAGCCCAGCCTTATCAGTGAGCCCTCCAGGCGTCAGGAACAGACCTTGTTTCAAAAAAACAAGGTGGGTAGCTCAGGAGGTATAACACCTGAGGAGGTTGTCCTTTGGCCTTATCCTCCACAGGCATGCAAACACACATACATGTACACATACAGAGAGACAAAGGCAGAGAAGAGGAGGAGAAGGAAGAGGAGGCTTTACTATTCTCCAGGCTGCTTGAGGCATTCTTGAAACCCCACTAAATTTCAACAGGAAGGAGAATAGACTCTACCTGTTGGTGAGAAGTGGCAAGGCTCTGGAAAAGCATGTGAAAGTGGAAATACTGCCAAGGCCATTTGTAGAAAATATTGTCTGCCTTACAGTTGAATACTAGAAGCTATCAGACACTATTAGTCATTTTCCACATTGCCATCACAAAACACTGGACAATGACAACTTAAAGCAGCATGAATTTATTTGGTCTCACCTTTTGAGGCTGCACTCTATCGTTGTGGGGAAGGCATGGGGGAGCAGGTTTAAGGCAGCTGCTTACATCATTATCTGCAGTTAGGAAGCAGAGAGAGATGGATGCTGATGCTCAGCTCAGTTTCTCTTATGGGTGCCACCCACATTTAGAGTAAATCGTCCCACTTCAGTTAAACCTTTCTGGAAACACTCTCATAGACACACACTAAATCCTGGCAATTTGATACTCAAGATTAACCATAACGGACATCCTGCTATCTAATTCAACACCACTCTCTCATTTTATGGGGTCTTAGTTGTCCTTCATACTCTTTCCATAGTCTTTCAAAGAGTGCTCTGCTTCTCAGGGCTCTTCTATTCCACACCTTAATTAGATCAACTACTACAAACTCCAATATACTCCAATATACTGGACAACTGATTCTCTTGAATCTCCCCCCTTACTCTACATCCTTTGCCTCACTAGTTTTCTCCTTTAGTTTCCGATGATGTAAAGCCACCACAAATCCTCCTGTTTCTCCACTAATATTATCTCCTCTTCTTTGTCTTCCAAAACTTTAAGGCAGGTACTCTCAGTAATCAATTCTCTTGGATGTTTTTGAGGCACCCGTGAGTTGGCCTCAGTGTTCTCATAGCTTCAGAGCAACCATCTCCCCATTGTGAGGAAGGCATTCAGTTTTTATCCCAGCCCCCTCTCTCAGCCTTTGTTCCTTGTCAACTATTTTCTAAAGCTTCCCGTCAAAGCTGCTTTCCTTTCTTCACTTCCTGTCAGAGCCTGTCACGAAGACTGCTAACAGTTTTACATGTTTATTCAGCAGCATCATGACTTCGCAACCATCTAGCGGCTAAGTAGGCTTACGTAATCAAGTCTGGTTCAATGGGGGCATGATTGGAGTAATGCTTCAATCCTCTGAGTCATCTCCTTAAAGACAATGCCTCTAGCCCTGGGACTTGCCTTCTTAAAATCATACAGAGAAGATCAAAACCCTAGGAGAATGACCTAGCCCCAGACTGAAAGAACTTAGTTTCCTAAAAGATGGCTTATACCAATTTTTATCAGTAATATAAATGATATTGTGGCCTCTATGTGCTAGCTCTTTTATTTGACTCAGATCTCAGAGAGAGGAAAGGGTATTATTTATTGCTCCCTCCACTGACATGCTCTACATTCATTCCAAATGGAATGCCTTTTCCCCCCCCCCCCCATTCCATTTCCTTCCTTCTCACTTCTTGTGTTAGACAGGCAGAGTTCTCTAGAGGAATGGTACTGACAGAATGCAATAATGTATATGTATGCAATGTACAATATGTGATGTACAATACAATATTAACATATATGAAACAAGAGGATTTGTTACACTGGCTTATCTAACAGCTAGGCAATTCAACAATGGCCATCTACACGCTGGGGAGGGTCAGAACCTGCAGCTTCTCAGTCCACAAAACTGGATGCCTCAGAAGTCCCAGTCAGACACTAAAAGCCTGGAAAATTCTGGAGATTCACTGGTATTGAGTCTGATGAGAGTGGAAGATGGTGGTAGCAGTAAGGATAGATGCATTCACCAGAAAGAAGTGAAGGCAGGTAGATAATTAACTGTTTTTTTCCCTTTGGACCTTCTAATAGCTAGACTCCTGTCATAGTTAGCTTCATCTGTCAACTTGACACAGACTTAGAGTCACCTTGGAAGAGGGGATTTTAATTGAAGTATATACTACATCAAACTGGCCTGTAGCCATGTCTGTGAGGCATTTTCTTAATTGCTAATTGATATAAGAGGGTCCAGCCCACTATGGGTAGTACCATCCATAGGCAGGTAGTCCTGGACTATGTAAGAAAGCTACCTGAGCAGGAGAGAGAGGGGAGAAAGGTATGGGAGGGTGTGAAGTGACAGGGGAAGAGAGAGAAAGCTAATGTTAGTGAACAACATTTCTCAATGGTTTCTGCTTCAAGTTACTGTCCTGGCTTCCCTCCATATGGACTGTAGCCTGCATTATGGAATAAGTCCTTTCCTCCCCAGGTTGTTTTTGGTCCTAGTATTTATCACAGCATCAGAAAAAAACTAGGACAACCTCCCTTTGGGAAAGTATTTGCCCAGTCTAAGGGAGGGCCTTCTCCTCTCAGTCAATACTTTCTTGAAACACCCTCACAGATCCACCCACCCACCCACCCACAGATGTGTCTCTAGGTTGACAATGAAGATTATTTAGGGTACTCCTCTTCCTTTTCTCAAATCTGGCAGATGGAAATGGTAGCTTTGCATATCTAGGGCTGTAGGAACATCAACTCATCTCGGGATCTTTCTTTATCTCTTCCAGTTGGAGCCGAAGTTGAAGTGGTTAAAACTAAACCATCTTTGATGAAGCCTTTTCAACCCCTTCTGGAGCTAGGTTTCTCTTCTATGAGTTCCTCAAAGTACTCGGTTGTGATCTCTGCCTTATCACTTGCCTCCTATTGCAAGAACTAAGTTGCCTCCACATCTGAACAATGTTGTCCTAAAAGTAAATGCTTACTGTAATTTTATCTTTGTATTGTAACTGCTTATCTCAGTGCCTGGCATGTAGTATGTGCATAATAATAATAATTTGTCCCATGTATAAATGGTGGACATATGGTAAATATTCACTAAATTGATATTTTGTCTAGAAATGGCAATAGTTGCCATTTATTGGCTTTTTGTGTGGTGTGTACATTTATACTTGTTAGTTCCTATACAGTTTTTAGTAGCTTGCATTATGATAACCTTTTATAGATATGAAACAGAGATTGCAAGAGTTAAGAAACAATGTTACTCAGATGGTGAATGGCTAAGTTAGTGTCCAAACTTGTCTTTATTTTTTTCTACTATAAAGGCCTTTTCTTCCACGACATCATATTGAGTTTCATTTATTTTTTCTTTCAGATTTTTATTTGAATTAGAAACAAGATTGTTTTACATGACAATCCCAGTTCCCTACTCCCTCCCCTCCTCCCCTACCACCCCCACAACCAACACCCTACCTATCACATATCCTTTCTGCTCCCCAGGGAGGGTGAGGCCTTCCATAAGGGGGCATCAGAGTCTATCCTATCCTTTGGGATAGGGCCTAGGCCCACCCTCATGTGTCTTGGCTCAGGGAGTATTCCTCTATGTGGAATGGGCTCCCAAAGTCCACATCTATGCTAGGGATAAGTACTGATTGAGTTTCATTTATAAGGAGTACTTGTGTAGCTTTATTTCTTAAAGCCCTAAAACAATGGGCCAGGCTAATGCCTATCATTCTTTAGCATTCCTTTTCTTCATCTCTATTGATAACTACCATTCATTGAAAACCTACTTGTCTTAGTCACTGTTATTTTGCTCTGAACAGAGAACACAACCAAGACAACTTATAAAACAAGCATTTGATTTGGGGCTTGCTCACCATTTCAGAGGGTTAGTCCATGACTCTTATGGCAGGGAGTGTAGTAACAGGCAGGTTAGTGGTGTTGGAGCAGTAGCTGAGAGCTTACATTTTAATCTGCACACAAAAGGCAGAGAGAGAGAGAGAGAGAGAGAGAGAGAGAGAGAGAGAGAGAGAGAGAGAGCCAACATTCAAACAAAGGAGCCTATGGGGTACATTCTCATTCAAACCACTACAATACTATTGAAAGATTATTCTCTAGAGGTCTTTCATATTTCTTGGCCCTTGCAAGAAGATGCACTCAACTGCTTTTATTTTGGGCTGCTTTTCCAAGGATGTTATGTAGCAAACAGACATGGGAAGTAGACAATAGAGCAACTCCAGAGCAAAAGGCTAGTTGGCTTAACTGTTTACGCTCATAAAAGCAACACTTCTTTGGAACATTTACTTCTGTCCATTGTCTTAATATCAGAGATTCTTCCTGGCCCTCTTTGGATAACCCTGTGGAAACTGGGACCCAGAAAACATGCAAAAATGCTAAGAATATAGTTGTGTAGTTGTGACTATTTTGTGAGTATTAAACTGGCCTCCATTTATTATTGCTAGGTTTCAGTGTATATAAGACTGATAGTCTGATTTGTTTGCTTTCAGTTAGGGTATAATCTTAGACACTTTCAATTCTTGACACCTATTTTGTTTCAAGCACTTTCACATGATGATGACATCATGAAAGGGGTGGTAGCTCCATGTTATAGAGGAGGAAACAGACTCTGAGACATTTAGAAAATACTCAAGTAAGGAGCAGAGCTTGGATTTGAACTCATGGCAATGGCATACCAAGGCTGTGTTTCTCCCTAGTTCTGTAGCCCTGTGGATATAGCCCTTTGCCTCAGGGAAAGGTTAAGCTTAGGTTGCTACATCACTGATTGGTGCCCTAAGGAATGTTCCCTGCCATAGAGGACAAAGCCATTCCAAGAATAGCCTTCTACTTGGCTTATGAAGTCTTTGGACATTTGGGGCTATTTGAAACAAATATCTGACTCCTCACTATATTTCATTTCTCTGTTATTGCAAAGCTCTACATGGAATTTAAGATTTGGCAGTCGGTGATTTTTCTCAAGGAAAAGAAACATTAAGACATTTGTTCTTGGAAAAATAAATCAGTGTATGTGACATGTATGCCCACATGTATATACAATAGAGTAATCTATTCAGGATTTATTTTTATAGCAAGGACTGCTGTTATGCAAATATACACAGAACCACTCAATGTTTTAAAGGCATCTTCTATATGGAGAACCAGAGTTGAGAAGAAGGGGACACAGAGAAAGTGATTGAGGATTTCATAGACACATAGAACAAATCTACTTTCTCTACCAGGTGTTGCCAACCTTTTGGCATTGGAACATGAGGTTGTTAAACTAAAAAATGACACAATTGAGTTACAAAAGGAATCGCCAAAAATATCTCAATATTTTAACTAGATTTATAGCTCTGTGCTTATCTGCATTCATAGCTATCCTGGACACATGTGGCATGGAGGAGGCCAAAGGTTAGACAAGACTACTCTGGATGTAAGCTCTTTAAATGTCTTTGCAATATAACTTATATGATGGCAGGTGGTGGTGGCACAGGCCTTCAATCCTAGCACTTGGTAGTCAGAGGCAGGTGTATCTCTGTGAGTTCAAGGCCAACCTGGTCTCCAGAGCTAGGAAAGCCAAGGCTACACAGAAAAATCCTGTCTCAAAAAAGTTCTGTGGTGGCTTGAAAGCATATTTCATATTTTAATTTTACCCATAGAGACCTAAATGTTAATGAATGTCTGCTGTGGCTTCTTGAGGGACTACGGTAATATAATTCCATGAAAGCATCACTGTCCCTTAATTTAAGAACTTGAATGACAATAGCAGTAATACCAGAAGTCCTGTAGACCCCAAATCCCATTAAAAAAACCTCTTAGAATGATTTTCCTCTAGTCATTGAGGATGATAGACCAGATTCATAGTGGGAACATATCTTGCTCTCTACGGTAACTCTGCCATCTGGGGTATGCATGGCTTCTAAGGCCCAGGTGTGATGAAAAATAAAAGGGATGTCAGGGGACTGTTTGCTTCAGACTTAAGCCTTGAATGCAAAAACAACCTCGGCAGCCTTCACACACTCTTGAGCAACCCCCCTTCTCAGACTCAAGTATGATTTCACATGGTCACATGTTTGCAATGTTCAGCAAAGACCTTGCCCCCACCCTGGTTTAATTAGCAGAACTGTGGCTGCAAAAGCACATGGCAAAGATTACAGTTTCCATGACCTCACTGATTCTGGAAGACACACTGAAATTACAGTAAAATACATGTGCTTTTTTCTTCCTGGGATTAAGTACAAATCTAATCACACATCTAGGATGCCTCCCCTGAGCCTTCTCTTCTTACCACCCTTCCATACTCTAAATACAGATGCTCTTATCTCTTTTCTCAGCACCAAATTCAGTAATTCAGTTCAATGAATTCAGGGCTAACAGACACAGACAACTATTTAGCTACACTAAGCCAATAGATATGCTGCACTTCCTCCTGGATCCCCTTTTAGAAATGACTGCATAGTCAAAGCACAGTATTTGCATAGCCTTCCCCTAATAACCTCAGTTGGACAAGTAGGAAATATTTTTCAAAATTGCTTATTTATTTTTATTTTCTGTGTAGAGTATTTTGCCTGCATGTATATATGTGTACCTATAGATGTCAGAAGTAGGAGCCAGATCCCCTGGGACTGGAGTTCCAGTTGGATGTGAGCTGCCATGTTGGTGCTAGGAATAGAACTTGGGTCCTCTGCAAGAGAAAGAAGTGCTCTTAATCACTGAACCAACTCTCCAGTTCAATTATGAAATATTTTTATCCATGTAATTGCCATCTTACTGAGCTTGTATCATGGGAACCAGAAACGAGATCTCACTTTTTAGTGGATTCTACTGGTTCCATGTCCATATCTGTGGAACTTGTTTTTACCATGAGATTAATTCCCAATTTTCTAGTCTGGGCAAAATGCTCAATAATATATGGGACTGTTGGCTGCTTTCCTTTTTCTGAATTGCATTCACTCTTTCCTATTCTCCTTATCAGTGTAAGCCCCTTGAGGTACAAGAGTGGCCAGTGCCTGCCCCACAGACTACTCTAACAGCCATAGTAGCCATTTCTAGCCCCACAAGATACAGGCAGCCAAGCTTCCCCCTACCAAAAAGAAAACCCAAGATCAGGCCACAGAATCCCACCATTTTCTGAGTTCAAAATCCCCCAAATCCCTGAGGTTGTCCCAAAATTAGATCATAGAATTCCACCAATCTCTGAGTTTGCCACAAGGTCAGGCCACAAAATATCACCAATCCTAGACTACCCTGGAAATCCCCACCCTAAGAAACACTGAAGCTGAGATATCTACAAAGATTGAATAGGACCGTTGGAGAAGTTTCCATTAACTCACTTGGTGAAAGTGCAAAGAAGCATGGAGAGAGTGATTAGGAGTCCCAGAGTCCCAGACAGAAGAGGGAGATTGTCTCACATAAGTTTGATGTGAGAAAATGCATTAATTTTGGTTTCCCTTTGTCTCTTTGCCTCAACACAACCCAAGCAGCCCCTGCTGTAGTTTTTCAAATGTTTGCTTACCAATATTCCTACTACTTTCATCTCTTGGTAGGTAAAGTGTAGATCAGTTTTGTAATGAAAACAGCCCTTACACAAGAAGGATCTGGGTTTCTGTTCCAGCTTTTCCATTTTGGGTGTAATTGGGACAGTTTAAAAATTCTTTTGAAGTTCAATTCATTTGTCTGTAAATTCTGGGCGAAATGCTGATTAGATTAAGTCATTCAGTGAAAAAATTTTAAGCATCTACTGCATACTGTTTATGTACTTAGCCCCCCTGGGAATAGAATCTTGATTTGTGGTATTTCCTTCCCTTTTGACATTCACAGCAAAGGTCTGGGATCTGGAATCAGACACCTACTTTCACTAAGTCTGTGACTGTACTAAATCTCATTGTTTTCACTGTAAGAAGGGGACCTATATGTGAGAACTCATATCTATGATCAAGGTTAAGCACATAATAACACAGTTGCAACTATACAGAAATGTTCAAGAGGCAAGTAAGATATAAGAAGATTACAGTGGTTAGTACTGAGTGCTTTATGACATGTCAGATGCTACTTAAAACATTTTAAATACATAAGCTTAGTTAAGCCACCTGAGAAATCTTAGATGTAGTCACTTTGCTATTTTCTTCATCTTTATGAGTAGAGGGTACAGAAAATCCAGAAAACTTGACGAAGTTCACAGGGTTGTCATATGGAGGCAGGATTTGAACCCAGGTGGTATGAATGAAGAATCCATGGTCTTGACATTGTGATTTGCCTTTTCAAGGCATGGTCCATGTTGGAACTTGTTAGAAATGCAGAGGTCTGGTGAACCCACTCTAGCCCTACTGAATCAGAATCTGCATTTCAGTGAACTGTCCAAGGAAATCACTTTCACATTACAGTTAGAAATTTGATGAATAAGGGCTTCAATACAGATAGTTTCTAAGGTCCCAGAAGGCCTGGTCCAAAGAGAATTCAGTAAAATATAACACACACACACACACACACACACACACACACACACACACAAATTGTGATCAGGGACAGAGCTTGTATATGTGTGTAGGTCTAGATGCCCTCCCCTAAATCATAGCTACCTCTACAGACTCCATGGGCCTTAAATCATTGTGCATTTGTCATTGGCCACTGGGTATTATTGCTGACAGCTATGCTCTCTCTCACCTTGCTAGTTCAGGAAAGAATTTGCATAGGCATAATTGTTTTGTTTTCTTCCTTTCATTGTTGTCATGGTTACTCAGTTCATTTGCATCTTCAAGCTTCTTTCATATTAACCTGAAAGGCATGCACAGCATCTCCTTCAAAGAGGAAAAAAAACTGTGCATGAAGGGTGAGGGAGAATTCTAATTCCTGAGTGTCAGGGTGATGGTTTTTAAATGAAGGTACCTCTAAAGTAGAAATGATTTTTAAGGTTCAGCCTGAAGTCACAATTCATCAGGAGGCCTCCTCCTCAGATCCTGGGGTGGGGATGTGCATCTTGAGTTTGTGCATGTCCCGGTGGTAGCAAATGTGTTCTGAGGCAGAAAGCAAGTCATTATTGTAATGTGACTCCGTGCAGAGACTATAGGGAAAAAGCACATTCCTCCAAGGCAATTCTGTTCTTCCAGCAGATCCTGGGGAAAAAGTTCACTCATTAAATCTTTGTCTCTGATGATGTAAGTCATAAAAGGAATGCAAAGCTCTTTGCTCATTTCTCAATTACCTACCTCATTTGCATATGACTTTGTGCATTCTAGTTCCAGTCCCCTTCTAGTACTTGAGCCGCTCAAGAACGTAATGGCTCCAAACACAATTTTACTGGTCATGATTCACAATGGGTGAATGAATTCAGCTGGATGATTTCTTTTGCTTATGGTGTCAGTTGGGGCAACAGTTACCTGGATGCATGAGAACACTAGAATAACCAAGATGGCATAGTTACACGGCTACTGATTGATGAAGGTGTTTGGTAGAAACCTTGAGTGGGAAGTTGACCAGAACTTTGGATTCTCTATCGGTGTGGTCTGTCTGCTTGACTTTGCTCTCTCTCAGCACGGTGGTTGAGTCTCAAAAGGGAACATTCTTAGAAAAGACATAATATATCAGTCGAAAGAAAGTATTGATTCAAGGGAGAAAATATAGACTCATCACCCCTTGATGAGCCTATACAGAAAGCAGAAACAATAGAATACATATGTGATATTGAAGGGACTTACTCCTGTGGGTTACCTAAAGTTAGATGAAATAGGGAAACCAGTATCTGCTCTAAGAAGCTGGAAGCCTCTGAAGAAGGCTGACCAATGATGCAGCCCTAGTCCACACTGAAGGCCTCAAAGTTTTCTGGAGAGTTATTGATGTGAGTGCAGGTTCAAAGGCTGAAGAAGCTGGGGCCTGGCATCCATTTTTGGTGGCAACAGAAAAATATGGACTTGCTCAAATGGAATCAACTTCCCCTTTGCAGATGTTTGGTTCATTCCCACTCCCCTTGTACTGGCTGGCACTCCCCACATTCAGGGTGGGTATTGCCTCCTAGTTTGTTGATACAAATGCCAGTGTCTTTGGAAATACCCAGACATGCCTGAAGATGTATTTTGACATCTTAGGGTGTTTCTCAATATACTTAAGGCCACAACCAAGATTAATCATAATACCCCCTTGCTGACCTTTTTTGTTCACCTTCTCTCGCATCCTGTTGTACTTATGCCCTTTGGAATTTTTATTCAGTCATTAACAAAATTCTCTCTAGCCTTAATGCAGTCTTGGTAGTGTCTTTCTGTCTTATTTGGCTGTGTATGAACTCTGACTTTCCCCAAAGGATCCAGCTTTTTCTGTTACTTTCTGAGGTACTGACTACCTTTATTCCTCTGCTCCTCATGTCCCTTTACTGTTGAAAGGATGCCTTCATTGCTATGCATTTCTAATTTCTAATTCCATTCTTTCTTTCTCCTACGATTACCACATGTCTATCCAACTTTAAATCTTGGACCATTAGACTTGGATACTCACTTCCACCTCTGCATTAGTCATGTGCTAATTATATGGCACTCTCCCTCCTTTCTCTAAGATTGGAGGTCTCCTTCATTGTCACTGTAATACTGCTCCTGTCAGGATTCTTGGGGAATGTCTCTCTGCAGTCCTTCTAGTTGTTTTGTCTATACCTCATCTGCATACTCCCACAGCCACACTCTGGAATTATTTCCAGTTTCTTTACTTTTTTTTTCCCTCCAAAATCGCTGATCATCTGAGACATCAAATCCAAGTATTTGTTTTGGTTTTGTAAGAGGGAGATGATGAAATTTCCGGGAATACTTTTAATGCCTTCTGCATTAATAACAGGATGGTTTTAGCCAGTTCATTGAAGGGCTGCTTAACAGGCACAGGCAAGCTTCCCACCAGCTACTAAATGCACTGAGGTTTAGCACAGTGTGGAGCACAATACAGAGGAATCATGCTGCATTTAGAGCCCAAAGGGCTCAGTTTGAAGTTTACTTTGTGTGTCGTCATTGTGGTTCTTGGGCAATTCACAGGCTTCTCTGACCATTGCTTTACTTTACTTGTATAAAACAATGAAGCCATTCAGCTGAGTCTGCCTCATCTGATTTATTTTAATTATTGAATTTTATTTCATCTTTTTGATTGGGGTTGCATACAAAGCAATAGGAATTATGATAACATTTCCATATATATGTGTCATTATTATAGAATTCTTTGAGTATTAAATAAAATAATACATACAATGTTTATCTTCAAACTGTAAGGTGCCAGACTTTGGTCCGAACAATGTCATAGGAACACATAATTTTACCAAAAATGTTCCTAATTTTAGAAGAAATGGAGGTGTATTTGAAAGTTTTGTCAGGAAGATCTGGCTGTAAGAGGCTGTTTAGTACCAATGCATGCTCACACCTGTTCCTAGTGTTCAATTCTGCCACTTTGGCTTCATTTTATGACTAAAAGGACCTTCAGAGCTTTCAAAATAGTAATAGTAATATAAATGATTATCACATGCCAGACAGTATGCTGAGGTGCTATTAGGAAAAATGGATATAATTGTTAACCTCATGGTGTTTTTAGCTGGTTTAGGCTAGTCATCAACACATGACTGCAAAAAGAGCTGGGAAATAAGATATACTTAGTCTGGGAGGGCCTGTACTAGGTAGCTTTGACTTGGTGAGTCCATAGAGAAGACCAGCCTAAGGAGCTGAGAGCAGAAGGAAGGTGGCCATCAATTAGATGGGAAGAGAGATGTATACATTTCTCACTGCTGCTGTAACAAATTATAGCAATTTCAACTGCTTAAAATCACACATGGGTTTATGATCTTATAATCCTGAAGGTCAGAAATTTTCAAATCATGGTGTTCATAGACCTACTTTTCTTCTGAAAGTTCTATGGAAGAATTCACTTCTTTGATTTTTTTCCAGCTTCTAGAAACCATATTTTAGTCACAGAATCTCTCTGACCTCTCACCTCTGATGACATCATCATGGTTAGAGAGATGGTTCTCTGTAACTCTGACTGTTCTGTCTCTCTGTATCTCTTATAAAGATGATTGTGGTTAAAGTAATTCTACTAGACAATCTGGAATATTCTCATCTCAACATAATCAAATCTACCAATGTTTCTTTTTTACTATATATGATAGTGTATTATGAATGTTCGACTGTGACATCTGTCACTAGTTGATCACCAGGGATAATTTGGCTGATCTGGCTGGCTAGGCAGGTGTCCCCTTCCTCCCTTACCATTCCATGAGGCTTTGTGCTCAGTTGAGGAGGACAGCCTTTCCTAGATAGAGGGGGACCAGTCTTCAAATGAGGGTATATGAGTAGATGTGCTTCCCTGCTAGAACCCCCAAACAAGCTCTCAAGATAATGTATTATGGGTTCTAGGGACTCAGATGTGAATATCTTTGGTGTGAGGTTGTTATTCTGTCTACTACATAAAGAAAGAACATTTTAGGTGATAACACATGTGCTAGGACTAGACAGTTGACTCGATTGTTAAGTTGGTTGCTTTGTTTCAGGACTCCAGTTTGGTTCCCAGCACCTACATTGGGAAGTTCATACTTTCCTGTAACTTCGGCTCCAGAGGCTTAGACTTCTGGTCCCTTATCTCCATGTTCATCTCCATTCTTCTTGTCTCCACATTCACCTCCATTCTCCTGGTCTCCATGGGCACCCACAGACATGAGTCAAGCATTCGCACAGATTCACATATATACTAAGTAAAAAATAAATCTTTCTAAAAGAACAATCAATACATGCTAAATCTCTGGGATTCAGTAGAACATCTCAAAATGAAAAGACTGAAAGTAGGTCTGTATGATATGGATCCAGAATTAGAGAGAGGGTGGAACATAAATGGACTGGGACTGGATCATAAGGATCTTTCAGGATGTGTCAAATAATTTTGTGTAACAAACAGAGGGTTTGTTACATTAATACTTATACCCAAGAAGATAATTTTGCTATTGGGTGTGGTGGATGGATTTTGAAGGAACTAGGACTTGAGATGAACAATGATGATAGCGTGCATGAGTTTGAAATGGAGAAAAGATGGAGGATGGAGAAGAGGCATGGGAAGAAATGCAGTAGGGCTTGAATAGCACTTGGTCACTAAACTTCAGTGAGAGAAGTGAAGGATGCCAAGAACTATTTGGCATAGGTCTTGCATCCTTGAGGTGAATGGTGGTACCATTCATTGAAATAGACCATGAAGAAGGAAGGACCAAGTTTGCTTCAGACTCTCATGAATTTTGTTTAGGATTGTTTGTTTGGTTGCCCTTGAGCCATCCACAAGGAAGTTGCAAAGCAGCCATGGATAATGGAGACGGAAATTTTAATGCCATTGCCATCTTCATGTTAATGTATGCAGTATAGATCAGACTGTGTTAGTGAGAGTAGGTAGAAGAGATAAGTTGAGGACAAAATATTGAGGAATCACAAACTAATAGCTTTGAAAGGAGAATGGACCACTCAGGAAACAGAGCTCAGAGAGAGAGAGAGGGAAACCCAATGGAGTATTATTTACTGAAAGCTAGAGAAAGTGAATATTGTAAAAGGTGATGAGTGGTCTTCAGTGTCCAAATCATTCAAGTAAGAGGAGAACAGGAAAAATCTATAGATTTAACCATATTATCAAGGAAATTCTTCATAAATGTAGGATGGCCTATGTTAGAATATTTCTACTTCTTTTAGCTGATAAAGTAACTAAAGTATACTAAAAGAAAACAACCAACATGAAATCACAGGAACCTGAACTGTGTGGAGCCAATTTCTAATTTGGGGCCCTCCATCCTTAACCTGCAGCCCCAGGTTGAGTTCACAACCTTCTCCTTTATCAGAGTCCAGAGGAAAGAAGAGTAGCACTAAGCTGGGCAAGGTAACGCATGCCTGGAATCCCAGCACTTGGAAGTCTAAGGCAGGAGGACTGCTGTGAGTTTGGGGCTAGTCTGAGTTACATTGTGAGTCATAGAGTGAGATATAGGTTAGTACAGGCTGCAGAGTAGATCAGGGCATACACACTTTATAAACAACTGAACTCAAGTACTTACCAATTGATAACATGAGCAACCCACACATTTTGGGGGGGGCATATCTTAGTCTAATACACAGGAATTAGCATTTCTTACTCATATATTACTTAAGGTCCTGATACATAATCCAACAAAACTTTGTCCCATTCATCTAAGTGTGCTTCAAATGAAAACAACAACAACAAAAAACACAATAGCTCCCGTCTTCTCACATGTCTAAGAGATTTTGTTCCCATTGTGTGTACTCTGTCATTTCTATCTTAGGTGTGAAAGTGTTTGATAACATATCTTTGTGTAGACAAAACAAACAGTTGTTTTTTTTAATGGGGAAGAGGATGTTGTTATTGTGAGAGAGCTCTGGAAAATCATCACAGAACAGTTTCCTGCCAGTGGTCTTTTCATGAAAAAAAATGGGATCATAGCACTTGCTGCAAGTGAAGGCAACAAAAAGAAGTCATGAGAGGCTTGAGTGTGACTTATTTGGCATATTGAGAAGCAGAAGGATCTGCCCAGTTTTACCTATTGTCAACAGAACTGCATATAC